TCAAAATACAATCGCATGATAAAGACGTGGGCTCGCAAATTGTTTATTGATCCAAATTATCCAGAAAAGGGCGTGTGGCTACAGGGGCGCACTCACGATTCGTTGGGATGGTCCGTGGGATGCGTGGCGTGCAATGCTGCAGGTTTGTCAGGGCAGTGGGCCAGAATGGAAGTGGACTCCCCAGCCGCCCTACAGTTGGTCAACGCGCTCCGGCATGCGGGGCTCAGCAGGCACAAGGAGGCTATCCAACAGTATTTGGGGAATACCACGCAAAAGACGATTGGTGCCCCAAGTTATGCTGACTTCAAGCTCGTCATAGATGACCGCCGGAACGGTGTTTCTCTGGCAAAAGGAAACCCACGAGTTGGCAGCGCCAAGAAATGTACGGAAATGACATTACAACTCGCAAATGCGATCTGCGATCTGGATAAGGAGTTCCTGAAGACAGCAACCGTCAACCATATCAAACAAGATGCCCGATTCATCCGGCTTATGACTACTTTCACTGCGTCGAACTCAAAACTACAAGTCCGGAGTGGGATCATCTGGAGTACAAAATGGGCAGGGGGTCATGCCACAGAAGTTGTTGAACACACCCAGTCTGCGATGAAGAAGTTTTGGAAAAATGACGCTGCAGGCATGGCTCACCATTGCAAGATCACGGAGGTTTACTGCGTCGACTCTGCAAGCAACGAGCTGAAAGCTGGGCGGCTCCTCACGAAGGGCAGCCTGGAGCACGGCATCGAGGCGCTTTTCAACAGAAGGTGCGATGTGCAAGCAGACGTAACCCATGCGAGTACCCGACTCCTGAAACGACCCTGGGCTGCCAGCGAACGAATGAAGAAGATCTTCGAGGTTAATATTTGGAACAAGCGCAGCATGATCAATATGATCCAGCACAGCCCTGATATTGCCAAAGTGTTCCGCAGCAACGTGCTGACCCTGAAGAAGTGCCCCGTCATGAACCGCCTCATCAGGAATCTTCAAATGAGGAAGCATCGTTTCAACAGCACGCCCAAACCATTGGGGAGGTGGTGTCTACTCCTACGAGCGGTGGTACTGACAGCTGTCTGGATCAAGAGAATGCGGAGAGGAAGGAGTGAAGCCAAGGACGCAGATGACTTCCTTGTCACCATCACTGAGGAGGACTGCCTACTGCTATCTATCATGTCCGATGCAGCCGACGAGGTGAACCAGGTAACAGTATTTGCGGATAAATCCAGTTACGACGTGACGGAGTTTGCCAGCAGACTGAGTATGCTCATACGGCGGTGCGACGCGTTATTTTTACAGAGATGTGCACTCACGTCAGGTTACACGAAGCACATGATTGACACGATGAGTCTATCACCACTGATTTTTAATATTGGCACGGACAATGGCGTGCGATCTCTTGGTGGCCCAGGCAAATTGACCCAGGACGGCTCTCAGGTGGGAAATGGAGTGAATTCTACACGCTTCGCGTATCCACACAGCCCATCCAGAAACGATGTCCAGGCGAATTGAGAGGCGATCAGGGAAGTAAGTGCCGGAGCAAAGAGGGGGGCGGCCGAGCCGTGTGAAGGAGAGAGGAGGCGAAGGAGACAATTGAATGGATGTATGGTGGGAGTAGGGAGAACGAGGAGAGTAGGATGAGGAGGAGGAGGAGGCGAAGAGGGAGGGGGCAGGCTATCGGCCACGCGGCGGGGAAAAATGCCTGCCGCTCCAATGCGATCCTTGCCGCCCCGCCCGGTGGATCTAGAGGGGGAGGAGGATGAGAAGGGATAGGAGGAGGATCGAAGAGGAGGAGAACAAGCAAAAGGGCCAGAGGTCTCTTGGATACTTCTCGGAGCCTCTTGGGGTATCTCTTCGGCGTCTTGGGGCGTCTTGGGGGTCTCTTGGCGGTCGTGGGGGGCTCTTCGGCGTCATGGGCGCCGCTGAGGGGGGCCTCTTGGGCCCGCTTGGGATCCTTTTGGGGGTCTCTTGGGGGTCTCGTGGGCCCATCTTGGGGCCATCTTGGGACCTCTTGGGGCCCCCTGGGCGCTTCTGGGGCCATCTTGGAGGAGATGGATCAAACAAGAGGGGAGCTTTAATTAGCGCCCCTCCCCCCAAGATGCCAAAATGGGACCAACACCCTAGTGCAACCAATGATTGTGGCTTCCTCGACACCTCGCGGAACCCCCTCTCCAGGTCCAGGGGAGGCAGGGGGAGGGGTAAACCCCTCCCCGAAGGGGAAGAAGGAGGGGTGGAAGAGGACACTCCCTAAAACACCGACGCCCAGAGGGCTGGTGGGACTTGGGACCCCCCTTCCCGACTCATTGTAATATCTCATGTAGGCGTCGTTTGAGGCCATGGGCCATTGCTTTACTAGCGCCCCTGCTAGAACATGAATTGGAACTCATCTGATCTCTCCTAGGTCTTTGATCCAGTTGCGCTGCCGCGCGATTCCGCCATCGTGCTCGGTCGGGCTGCCGCCAGAGGGAGGGCCTGCTGGGGGCCTCTTAGGGGTTTATCGGGTCTCCTGCTTAGAGCCTCAACTGGATTTCCTCTTACTGGGTCTCGCTGGACCTCAGGAGGCCTGCATTTGAAGAGCTGCCGCCGTGATTCCTAGTATTGTCTGTACCTGTTCACAGATGGCATGCCTACTGCGGCCTCTCCTACTTGACATTGACCGCTGGGTCACGTTTCTACGATGACCCTTCGACTCTAGATTATCAGCAACACATTTGCTTCAAACATGTACGGAATACGTCGCCACTATGACTCCGTGCTGAGGCTCCCTGGGAGTCGACCGGGGGGAAGTGGGTCGTTAACCCAAGGCCCATCCGGCAGAGAGTGAGCGGCCCCCGCGAGAGGAGCGATGAGAGTCCGCGCCGCCACGCACACACACACGCACACACGCACACACACACAGAACATCCACTTGCATCCGACAAGTCTGGCAAAGTGTTCCGATGGAGCCGCGATCTGATGCTCATCCGTCCTCCCGCCACTCCTTCTGCTCTGTCATGCCCATTGTCCTCCCTTTTCGCGTCGTCATCCTGAACCGTCTGCCCGTCGTCCTCCTTTTCATCATTCTCCTCATCGTACTCCGCGTTCTCCGACCCTTCCTAAATGTCCTCACCTCCCACCCTCCCCCACTGTCCTTTCTCTCTCGCTACGCCTTCCTGCGGCAAGACAACTAGCTTCAAGGATCGGCCCCATCCTCCGTCATTTCCTGCTCATCATCGTTACTTCTACCCCACCCCACCCCGCCCCGCCGTGCACGCCGCGGCCGCCCCAGGCACCCGATAATCCCTGGTGGTCCCGCACCCGCCCCCCCGCCCTGTATGCCGCGGCCGCCAGACCCCCAGGCTCCCGATAATCCCCGGTGGCCCCGCGCCACGCGCCGACTCGCGCACTCTGCGTGCTGCGGCCGCCAGACCCCCAAGTTCCTTGATAATCCCTGAAGGCCCCACCCCGCGCGCCGACTCGCCCACTCTACGAGCCGCGGCCGCCACATCCCCAGGTCACCCACATAACATAACATAACATAACATCCCCGAGCATACCATAACAGAACTCGCCATGGCAGAGCAGTACATACCATAGCACAGCGTCACAACACAGTTCCTTACACAACAGGACAAGCAAACCAATCATATCATATCAATCCAGTTGAACATACTAAAACATAACGCTTCATATCGCGACATAGCGTGACTAAACATGTCATAACACAACGCGGCATGCCAACGCATGCTCTGACACATCGGAACAGGCATAACAGATCATAACATAACAAATCATGCCATGCCATGTAACACCACAGTGACACATGCGATACCCGCACATAACAAACACAATGATTACACAACATCACAACGCATATCACCCCAAATCATCGCACATCGTAGCATGATTTGATCCGGGCATAATGTGGCATAGTATAGCAAAACGTATCATAGCATGGAACCGTACGCTATGACAGAATTGGTCGCGCAACCTACCGCATCACACCACACCTTACACCACAACACGACAGCGCATAACATACCCCACTATACCATACTATGTCATATCCACATACAATGGCAGAACAAAGCGCACCGTAGCACTGCATCGCAGCATATAGCAACCCATGCCATGACACATCGTACCATGACAGAGTGCGTCATAACACAATAGAACATAGCATGGCGTAGCAACTCATATCACGTTAGCGCAGGTTTCGGTGGGGATCGTTCGAAGCAACATATGTTCCTTTGCCGGTGAGGAGCACTTGGATGCCTGCTTCGTGCACATGGCTGCATGGGTTCGCATGCTCATCCACACGGTGGACGCAGAGTTCCCGCAGTTCAGTCTGATCAACTCAATGGGTGTGTTCAATGTATCTGAGACCGATGAGAATGCTCATGATAACGAACTGTCGCTGCGGAGGTGTGCCAACAAATATGGGGTCGTGGCCGATGATCTGATGTACGAATACGGAGATTTGCTGCCATATGCCCAGAAATTTTACCAGGCTGCCCCAACAAAGGGCAGCACAGAAGCATGGAAACGAACGATTGAGGATACACAAAAAACAGTTGGCCTCCGCGCCAGGCACCCCTGCGCCGCCTTGAGGACAGTGTTGGAACGAGTTGCATGCTACAGGGGTTGCAGCACTTCAATTGTAGAGCGGATATTTGCTTGCCAGGCTCCGATCACAGATGGGAACCGAGGGGCTGACAAGCACGAGACTACCGAGGTGGCCGAAATAAAAATAAAACACGATCTCCTGGACGCAGACATCGACCGAGTCATCGAACTGGCACAAAAGAAATGGATGCAATGTCGAGGGCCCCCGAGGGCCTCTGGATCTGAGTATCGCGAGCCGTACCTCGGCAAGGGCATCAAGACTTTTCGGGGCGTCGACAAGGACCCGCATGGGTCAGGAAAGGAGGTGCAGGACGAGGAAGAGGAGATGCAGGAGGACGGCAGACGGGGGCACGCACGCACACGCACGCACACGCACACACGCACACAGAGTGAGCGAGGGACACCAGTCGCAAAACGAGTGATCGAGGACAACGCTCTGACTGTCGCTGTCCGCCCGCCGCCCAGCCTCGAAGCTCAGACGAGGAGGAGGGCGGCGGACGGGCCCTCGTTGATCTTGACGCACGGCCTGGGGCCCACCTCACCGTCCATGAAGTAGTGATAACACCACAACCGCCATGCTATAACAGATGCAGCTCCGCCAAACTATTGATTTGAACACCGACTATCGCAGCTAACGGGCGAAACGCCCGCGTGCGCAAGCCGAGAGCCAGCATAATACGCACCGTTGAATTCGAACAGACATACTGATTCTGATCACCAGAGCCTTCATCTACCAAGAAACATGCCCCAGAGAACAAGGTCGAAAGACATGGGCGACAACAACAAGATAAAGACATCCGCGCCAGCGTTGCCTTCAGCAACCAGGGCAGAAATCCCAGACCGCAGTTGTCAAACACGCAAACCTTGCATATGATGAATTCCGACTGGCAGCACTGAAAACTGATTCCAAAAGCACCCAATTGCACATCAGGAATTACACAGTTGGCCGCGCCACCGACAAAAATGCCGTAAATGAATACAATTCCACTTTCATAGCAGCACCGCGCCCTGCCACGCCAGCCGACTGCGAACGCCACTATAGTGCTTGAACTGGAAAACCTGGGGCCCGAATCGCAACCTCAGCGAAGAACCGCATGACCGCCGCGTTGACCGACACATGAGGCTGTAGTAGATCACGCGGAAAGCCCGCTTCTGTGAATAATGTGCCGTCGGCCCCCGATGCGAGATATGCGTTCATGATCTGCTGGATCTTCCGATCTGTGGCATACGTGTAGTATTCGTCGTAGCTGTACGCTTGGTTCTGGCCCCCCATGAGCTTGGTGGCAAAAATACGGAGCGCGGGTTCCACCAGCGGCTGCGACGAGCGACTCGCCACTTGATGAAGGCGATTCCGCACCTGCACCCCGCAAGTTAAACTGAGAGCGCCATCCCATTCGCCAACGGACAGCACCTGCATGCCGTGAACTGTCGCCGTCGTCAATAGGCCGATCAGGTCGAGAAACCCGCGCACGTCGACGTGCGCGTCGATTGAGATGGGTCCTCCTCGAAGCCCTCGTGCAATGAGCCGGTCTCCACCTGCTAGGCACTGCAGCTGACCACCCTCGTCCAGGTAGCACTGCTTCGGACGAAACCCCACGATAGGACAGACCGGCGACACCGTCGAAGGAGAATCGCCCAACTTCAGAAGATCAGTCTGCCTGCAAAGGGTAATCACAGTAGCCCACGGCAACTGGCCCACCATGGCCTCGTACGCGATGGCCTCGAAATAGCTCCTCCGCTCACTGGGCGAAGGCGAGAACTTGGCATACTTGCGAAGAAGGTCACATAGAGGCTGCACTGCTGCCGGTGATGGGCACAAACATGATGCAATCACGACCGTCGGAGCTTCGACCAATTGCTGGCACTCGAAAAGTTTGAATAAATTCAGCTCGAGAATACTAACTCCCAATTCGACCAACGATGGCCCGCAGTGCTGCTGCAGCGTCGTCAACTCAATGTCCGACGAGAACCACCGTCGGAAAAGGGTACGCCGAGATACTTCATCAGCACCAGAATCCAGCTCCATCGAAACTCACGACCAAATCACTAAATCCCAAACAAACTCTGAGTGCCGCAGCGCCGCGAGGAGAAAGGAAGCGCGGTCGCCGCAAACTGGCTTGTGCCAAAATGCACTCGCGCAGGAGGACAATGACGAGGATAATACAAATTACCCCAGTGCGACCCTACCTAGAAGTTGGAGCCCCTAGGAAAGCAGCATTAATTGTTATGATGTACTATCTTATGCCGCGCTATGCTGTGCTATGCTATGCGATGCTAATGCTATACTGCGCTATGCTATGCTATGCTATGCTATGCTATGATATGTCATGCTGCGCTGTGCTATGCTATGCTATGATATGCTGCACTATGCTATACTATGCTGTGATGTGTTGAGCTGCTGTGCTATGCTCTGCTACGCTATGCTATGTTATGGTATGCTGCGCGGTGCTATGCTGTGCTGGACTGTGCTGCGCTATGCTATGCTTTGCTGTGGTATGCTATGCTATGCTGCACTATGCTGGGCTAGGATCTGATATGCAGTGCTGCGCTATGCTATGCTACGCTCTGCTATGTTCTGCTGTGCTCTGCTATGCGAATGCCCGGCGAAGCTAATATGATGGTAAGCTACGCTAGGAGAAGCCTGAGCTAATATGAAGCTAAGCTAAGATGAAATAAGCTAATCTACAATGAGATAAGCAATGCTGAGCTAAGGGGGCGCAACTGGGGGAACCGCGGTGCGGATCCTGGGGTAACCGCCCGGGGCGGGCAATACTGCCTGGTCCCCTTTAAGAAAGAGGGTGATAACCCTACTAGGCAGAGCCTAGGTCGGGAACAGCGGGGGGAGATAAACGGAGGAGGTGGGATGTAGGATGAGACAGATAGTACCCGTCGTCCTTGTCGCCCTCCCCGTTCCCGCCCAGCTCTTTCTCTTCCTCCTCCTCCTCCTCTTCCTCGTCCTGGTCCTCCTCTTCCTCCTGATGCCCCAGCGTCCTTTCCTTCCCCTCCCCCTCCTTACTTCCTCCTGTCTGGCAAATTCTTGACGCTTCGCGTATCCCCACCAGCCCATCCAGAAACGATCAACAGGGGAGTTGGTGAATCAGGGGCGGCAGGACGCATGCAGTCGCGCGGCCGTCTTCGAGAAAACAATGATCACACATAGCTTCCCGCATTGAAGTTTAAGATAGGAATCGGTGCAAGCTACGATGGTGCTTCGATGAGGGGCGAGGGGTGTTTCGATGACTCGTAATGGCTGTTGCGCTGATTTGTGTCTTAAGCTCGCGTGCGTTCCGAAACTTGGAGGCATCTTGGGGCTCTCCTGGGGCTCTTTCTTGGGGCTCTCTTGGGGCCTCCGGGGGCTCTTTCCTTTGGGGCTTCTTGGGGCTCTTTTGGGGCGTCTTGGGGCCCTCTTGGGGCTCTTTGGGGGGACTGGGGGCCTTCTTGGGGCTCTTTTGGGATCACTGAGGGGCCTCTTGGGGCCGTCTTGGTTCTTATGGCTAAAGAGGGGGGGGGGCTCAATTCTTGCCCCCCCTCGGAGGCTCAAACATGCCGTCTTGTGACCCTTGGCCCGCTCTTGGAGCGCTCTTGGCGCTCTTGGGGCCGTCTTGGGGATCTCTTGGGCCCCTCTTAGATCTTGGGGCTGTCTCGGGCCATCTTGGGGCCATCTTCAAGAGCCCTTCGGAGGCGAAAAAGCGAGAAGGCAAAAAACATGGATGTTCCTCAGGTTTTGAATAATTTTGGCCTCTTGGTGTGGTCCTTGGAGGCCTCGGAGGGCATTTGAAACCGTCGTGGGGCCGTCTTGAGGCCTCTCGGACGCGTGTCGGAAGCTATCTTGACCCGTCTACCGCTATCTCGGGCCATCTTGGAAGCCACCTTGCGCTCTCGGGGGCCCTCTTGGAGCCATCTTGGGCCATCTTGGACGCTGCTATGGGTCCGCTCCCACCCCCCCTGTCCAAGCGCAGGGAGGGGGGGAGGACGTAAACCTCTCGCGCAGGGAACACCATGAGGTTGGAAAGGGAAACGCCCTAGACTTAGACCACCCGCGCCCAGAGGGCTGGTGGGACTCCTACATCCCACCTTTTAACATCCCCACCTGTGTCCTCCCCCTCTACTTTCTGCCCCCTGCCCGCGCCCTCCCTCCGCCATCTCCGCCCTCCGATGGCATCGGAGGGTCCCAGATACCGACTGGCCGACAGGATACCGAGACTAACTGGCTGCGCAAGCGCCGGCTCGACGTCGCGAGCCAGATGGACGAGGCACGGACGCCTCGCCCTCCTCGCCATAATTAATGTTCTCGTCGGCACGGCTGGGCTCGGCTCGATTTTCCTGGGGGCCCCCCCTTAGACTTCAGTCAGGGTCGGCGGGGCCAGCTAAAGCCACTCCAATCAACAAAAATCCCACTGGTAGGTTTGTCTTGAAGACAAACTTACCAGTCTGTTAGGTCGGTAGGGGCAACGTGGACCGAAGGGCCCTTTAGGGGCCCGTGAAAGCTTCTTCAGTGCCACTACTATCCTGAAGTCCTCGATTCCGCTTGTTGCCTCCACCGGCCGCCCGATTGCCCCCTCCTCCTTTTTATTTGTCTCTCTCCAAGGTGACCAAGCGGTCACGTTCTGAGACACTGGCTGCTGCCGAGCTGGCGTCGGCACCCAAGTGGACGCCGAAAATGGAGGGTGAGGTTGTCAAGCAACATGCTAAATCATTCAACAAACGGTGCGCTGCTGCAGACAACGGCACGCTGCTTGATCATGAGATGGACGATGACATGCGATCCGACTTGGACATATATCGAGCTCGCCAGAAACAAAACGACAAAAAAGCAGCAGCAACGGCACGAACGCTCGCCCATAATAATGCAAGGTTCCGCCACAGCTTCGACATGTCAGGGTGTCACTGTCACGTCGATGATGCTTGCAAGACCGACTCAGTGCTGATGCGTGCCGTCGCCGTGCGAGGTTTGCGAGTCGTGCCCACGCCATCTGTGCGCATAGGAGTGTTCGTTGTGGCCGACCCGTCGAAACTAGGGCAGCGGGCCGCGTGGATATCTGCACTGACATCTGCGCGATTGGTTGTTCCCGAGTTTGTCCAGACCAACGGCCGGAGTGGTGCTTGCGTTGTTCACAAACCAGCTGCCATCACTCAGCGTCGCAAGGTGTGGATATCAGACGCGTTCGTGGCTGCTCATCCGAGGATCGGTGTAATCATTGATGAGGCCAGGCGGCTGCCGCAGAGCAAGTGGATTGACTTGCGAACACGTGATAGCTTTTTAGCTGCCAGGCCGGAGAATAGTTTTAATCAGATTGCCTTTGTCACGATTGCAGAGAAGAATACGGATGATGAGTTCCAGCGGAGGCGCAACGTCTTTACTGTACAGTCGTATTTGCCTTGGATTGCTAAGCACAGGGGCGGCCACGCGCCCGACTTCGCCGTGGGAGACTGTGGCGGCTGAAGCCGCAGTGCGTTTGGCACGTCGGGACAATCGCTATGCCACTTAGCAATGTATCCCTCATTCAAGTCATCATCATCAGCACCAGCAACATCAGCAACACACGCATCATGATGACCTATGTCATCACCATCATCACCAGCCTCATCGACATCATCATCAGCACCCTCGCCATGATAGATCAAATTTCGGCGCACCCCTTACGCGCTTCGTGGCCCAATAAGGAATTAGCTTAACAATGCCCATGTCAACGCCCTACCACAATCGCCACCCTCCCTTTTGCGTATTGTCCGTCCCTGCCGCTGCTCCAGTCCACTCCAAAACTTCCTCTCCTCCCCTTCCCCATCCCGCACCCACAATCCTTTCGAGTCCTCGTCGCCCCGCGGGCGTGGCATGTCCGCAACGGGGGTGGCGCTCAAGATCATTCGGGAAAAGGGACCGCCTTCCGGCGCTTGGGATAATTCACAGAAGCTCCACTGTCACTGTCCATAATTCCCTACCTAGGCTCTGCCTAGAAGGGTTCTTACTCTCTTGGTTTAAAGGGCCAGTATCCGCCCCGCGGTTCCCCTGATACGTCCCCTTAGCTTAGCGTTGCTGATCTCATCTTAGCTTAGTTTATTTCATCTTAGCTTAGCTTAGCTTCATCTTAGCTTATCTTAGCTCAGCATAACATATCATAGCATATGCTAGCATAACATATCATAGCATAGCATAGCGCGGCTTAGCAACGCATAGCATATCATAGCAAACCTTAGCATAGTACAGCGCATAATGACATACCATAGCTTAGCATAACGTAGCATAGCATATCGCAGCATGGCATAACATACCATAGCATAGCATAGCGCAGCATAGCATGGCACAGCATAGCATATCATAGGAACTAATGCTGCTTTCCTAGGGGCTCCAACTTCTAGGTAGGGTCGCACTGTGGTATTTACTAATGTCCTGGAGAGTCCAGCTGCGCCGGTAGGCCCTCGTTTCGACTCCGATGGACGGTCATCTCGACCCCCCCCCCAAAAAAGGTCGTGAGCCTACTTTTGTTCAGTAGGCTCACGAGCCGGGGACGTCCCCGACGCGTGAGTCGACTGGTCTTGGGGTCGTGAGTCGACTGGTCGGCCTCGGGAATTTCCGAGACCAGTCGACTCACGACCCCTACACCAGTCGCCTCACGCGCCGGGGACGTCCCCGAGGCGTGAGCCCACTGGTCATTTTGACCAGTAGGCTCACGACCAAATCGCTGATAGGCAATCGGGCTGAGAGGACCAGTCGGCTCACGCGCCGGGGACGTCCCCGATGCGCGAGTCGGCTGAGATGACCAGTCGGCTCACGCGCCGGGGACGTCCCCGACGCGTGAGTCGGCATACGACGATGACCAGTCGGCTCACGCGCCGGGGACGTCCCCTCGGCGCGAGTCGGTTGAGATGACCAGTCGGCTCACGCGCCGGGGACGTCCCCGAGGCGTGAGTCGACTGGTCTTGGGGTCGTGAGTCGACTGGTCAGCCTCAGGAATTCCCGAGACCACTCGACTCACGACCCCGCGACCAGTCGGCTCACGCGCCGGGGACGTCCCCGAGGCGTGAGTCGGCATACGACGATGACCAGTCGGCTCACGCGCCGGGGACGTCCCCTCGGCGCGAGTCGGTTGATATGACCAGTCGGCTCACGCGCCGGGGACGTCCCCGAGGCGTGAG